AGATTTCGACCAATTTGCTCAAACGAAGCATTTGGATTTCGAGCAAAAACTAGGGGTTGGTCTACTTGAAAATTTCCCTCATTTTGTCTCGGAAGATTTGGACCAAAATTTGGTCTATTTTGCTCGAAAATTTGACCATTTTGACCAAGATTGGTGGCATCTCGATTAGGTATTTGGGCAACATTTTTCCTTTGCCCTATAGGAACTTGAGGTGCTCCAAAAACGTCAGCAATTCGACGCATTTGTTCAGCCAAAATTTGATAGCTGGTATTAGTCGTTTCTACTATGGGATTCAATACAGTGGTCATTTGATGAGTCAGCATATTGACCATCTCGTGATTGCTTTCATCCATTTGTTGCCTCATGAAATGTAAGGCAACATTCAAAAACGAGCTAGCAGGAAGTGAATCCCCACTCGAAGCTCCAAACGCAAATTGCGTTTCGGGTACTCCACCAATCGTACCCATTTCCGGTGGAATGGTATGGAGTACACCCATTCCCGGTGGAATGGTGTGACTCTGGGGTGACACGGTTGTCACCACAGGGTTGGAGTAGGTTGATACTCCAAAGATAGGAGGCATACACACGGGAGGTAAGCCAAATGGGTGATCACCCAGCCTTGGCCTTGGACCAGGATTTATGCTGGGATTAGTTGGCGGCATAGTAACCATAAATTGGCTAACTACGGGAGATGACGGCATGGGTAACGCCGTCGTTGATGTGGGTTGTGCGGCAGTAGTCGTACTGCCGCTTACATTTTCTGGGTTCGTATCACTACCATCACTTCTAGAATTGTCGTTCCCAGAACTGAATCACTATTTCTTCCTCTATTAGCCATAATACAACGTCCGTTACGTAATATCATGCAACAAAACAATCAATCATTCAAAACACACAATATGGTCCCACTGGACGTGCCAATTTGTTTACGGTGAAAAATGACAGTTGTAAACAAATAATCCAAAGATCAATCTGGGGACTGGATTTAGGTCCTCTTTGGGTTCTTTTAAGTGTGTTGTTAACGTAACGATGAAATGGGCACGTGAATTCAGCAATTTAGCAAGAATAGTGAAATATTAAACGTGCAGAATTGACTCAAACATAGAGGTTCATTACAGAAAAGTATGAAATAAGAAATGAATTGCAGAAACAAGAACAAAAGCAAACAAACGAAGAAACTTGAATTGAAATGCAGAGTGTAAAGGTACTGGAATGTAAATATGCTGAAATGTAAACGTACGACTCCTCACAACGGCGAACAACGGCCACCGTAGGTCTCCTTGTAGCTGGTGTCTGGCGCGGTGCAGGGTTTCAGCATCTCAGAGTGTTTAGGTGCGGTGTCTGGGTGCAAAAAGTCGTCCCCCGTGAAATGGTGCTTTGGAGTATTTATAGACATGATGATTACCACCGTTTTCCTCCTTTTGCTGGCACTTCTTAGTAACTACCTTCAACTGTTGATGCTCACTATCCACGATTGCTTGCGATCGTGCTGTTCGTTGGGACTTCTTTCGTAACCGCTATCGCCCATGATCTTCTTTGCGTAATGGTGAATAATGATAACTGCTGGTAACCGCCTTTGGATTTTTCAAGACTCCTATCTTTCGAGTATTTTTGAGAGAAACCTAGGAGACTCCTTTAATGTTATGGCCTTAGAATAATTTCTTCTTGACTTCTCTTTTCGAGCCATTCTGAAGTTTTAAGAGTCTGTCTTGGTCTTGTGGACTTAGAACATTTTCTTTGCTCATTTCTGTTTTTCGAGCAATTCTGGAGGGACTCTAGAGCTCGACCAAATTTGTGGACTTAAAATATTTTCTGACCACTTCTTATTTTTTGAGCAATTCTGGAGGAAATCTGGAGCTCAGCCAAGTTTGTGGACTTAGAATATTTTCTTACCACTTCCTGCTTTTCGAGCAGTTTTGGGTGTCAGGGACTTGAAAACTCCTCAAAACTCCTCGAAAAACCATCAGTTTTGTGGACTTGGAATATTTTCTTTGCCAGTTCTATTTTTCGAGTAGTTTTGGATGTCAGTGACTTAAAAACTCCTCAAAACTTCTCGAAAAAGCCTTTAGTTTTGTGGTCTTAGAATATTTTCTTGTCTTTCAAGCAGTTTAGAGAAAAATCAACAATGTAACAAAAATCTCCTAAAATAGCTCGAAATGTATTCCTTTTAATTAAAACCAAAGATCTTCCAATATTTCTCTTATGTTCAGGTTTATCTTTGGCTCCTTCTTGACCCTCAAAACTTGTTGAAATGTAGTTTCCTTCAAGATGATTTTTAACTTAGAAAATTTTTCTTATCCCAAAACAGGGTGCTTGGTGTTATTGATGACAAGAAGATGAAGTTTTAAGAATAAGAAGATTAAAGAGAGAAAGAAGATGAAGAAGTATCGAAAAATAACGTTGGAGATCTGAGGAGGAAGACAATAAACAGTGCCACACCATACACATGGCACAAAATGATAATTTTTTTTAATAAAATTAGAGTTTTTAACAAAAAAATGACCTATTTAAAACTTTTGCAAAAGTTAGAGAACTAAAATAAATTAAAAAAAAGTTAAAAGATGAAAACGAATTTTATTTTGAAGTTAAGGGACAAAAAGAGTAATTTTGCCTATTTTCTATATCTTAACAATATCAATCTATATGTAAAATTGACTGTAATTTAATATTAATGTTTTGTTTAATAAATATTATATATATTTCAATAATATCAAACTTATTATTTATAACATATTTATTAAAGAATTTAATTTAAACATACTAATAATGTAAAGACTTTACATTGCTAACCAATTATAAAGTTTGATATTAGCAAGAATTTTTAATTTTTGTAACAATGTTTAGGTAAAATTTTCAATTACCTATGTATCTAATATAGTTATGGGTTTAGATTGACATCATTTTGCAAATTAAAAAGAGACCTTTGTACCAGTTTATTTTAAATGATAAGTCTAAGAGAAGTTTAACTAGAAAAATAAAAAAATAAAGAAAGTACAAAGTTAAGAGGGAGTTCTTGAAACGATTCAATTTATATTGAATAAACTTTAAAGTAAAAGTATAAAATATGTGAATTAGAATCACAATAGACTTAGGATTACAAGTACTGAATGTTTAATGCTATTAAAAGTGATCATGTTAAAGATCTTAGATGTTACCTAGAGAGTGTGTGAGTGAAAATATTTTTAATTGTTGTGTAACTTATCTTCGTCTCTATGCATTTTCTTTAACATTTTCTTCAATCCATCTCTTTTCTCCTTTTGATTCTCTCAAGTGTTTTTTCTCTACTTGCATAGTAAATTTTTGAACCTCCTTAAATAAAAATATACAATCCTATTTATTAAAAAAATGACAAGACAATTGCAAAAATAAATGTAAGGAAATTGAAATATGGGTCTAAAGGTAAGCTAATCCCCTTAATTGCATGTCCTGAGCACGAGTGGTGTGACAACCGTTGTTGATTTATTTTAAAAGTAATCACTACATTTAGAAGATTTAGAAGAATAGGCTCATTCGACCATATATTGGTCTTTACATTTGTTTTTGGTCAGGCTAAGCTACTAAGTGACAAAGACTTAACTTTTTCTTTTGTGGTCAAACTACTAACTTGACCATTATCTTGTTCAAATCAATAATATTTGACTAAAGCACTAAGAGATCAACATTTAGCCATTTTTATGGTTAGAGTTAATAAGACTTAGATTCTGATCGAATCACTAATCTAAGGTTCTGAGTGTTCAACACTTAATCATTTCTATGACCGAACTACAATTCTAAGAAATATTTTGATCAAATCGCTAATCTTTGAGCAAAGGTACTAAATGACCAACACTTAGTCATTTTTGTAGTAGAACTTACATTGACTAATAAAGAATAATGATCTTCTAGCTAAGGTGTTAAGTGGTTAATACTTAGCCAATTTTGTAATCAATTATAGTACTAAAACTAATATTCTAGTTAAATTACTGATTTCTCATTAAGGTGCAAGTGACCAACACTTAGCCATTTTTATAATTGAATTTTGATGGGGTGAACAAATAATTTAATAAAAAATATATATCTACAATCTAATTGATTGATAATGTAAATTTTTTTATATTAACAATATATTAAAATTAAATTATTGATCAAATATGTGATTTCTAACTTGATTTGATAATGTCTAAACAACATTAAAAATATAATTTATAATAGAAGTTTGTTAAAAAAAATTGTATTAAAAAAAGAAAAATATTTATTATATTTTTATAAATTTAATATAATAAATATATACTTTTTTTATAAAAAAAATCATTTATAGATGCTTAAACTCAATTTTAGGATACTGACATTAATAAAATTCTAAAATTTTAATTTTTTTCATCTCAATTATTGAATTTAAATTTATCACTTTTTTGTTTACTTTATTTTCATAATATATAATTTCATTTAACATTTTATATATTAAAATTATTTTTAAAAAATAATAAATCCATATAATGCACGGGTATTATAATTAGCATATTTGATAAATGAATGATGATAGATATTAACAGGGGTTGTTTATAGTGTAGTCAACGCGTCCACTAGGTCAAAAATATTGGTTTTTGTTTTATTAAATGCACAATTTGATCCCTAAGAGTGACCTCATGTTTATTTTCAGGGTCTAAAGTTACGGTTTGTACAATTTAAACTTTGAATTTCTTTACTCACATTCTGGTCAAATTACATATACAAATCAATTTAAGTTTATTTTTTCAGAAAATTAAAACATTTAATAAGGTATATTTAATTTCTCACATTACATACCCATGGACCCAGAATAAAAAAAGAAATTCACTGAAATCTAGCAGTTGGAGAACCTTACCAAGAGGAATTGAAAAAGCCTAAATAAAAGAAACGACAAAAAATGTTCCTGGCGAAAACAAAACGAAATATTGTTAAAACTGGTGGTATGATGAGGGGTAGCACTTCAATATATTGAGATAGAACCATTTTACTGGATGACTATGGATATTATGCCCTTATAGTCTTATCCAATGTCGCTTAAAGAATTCTCTAAATCCATAAGAACTAACGTCGTAGTTGAACTGCAAGTGCAAAAATAAATGAAAATTGGACAAATATTACAATATTTCTCAAATGGAATCAAGGATATTTCTCAAGCATGTTCAATAATTTTGATACGTTTTCCAGTCACTTAATGATAGGTTACTAAATTTACTACCTAGGCATAGATTCATTTTGCAAATTTGTTTAAGGAGTTCAAAATACAGATAACATAATCAGTAATAGATGCTACATGTCGCCTGAAAAAGAACTCCCCCGGTGCCATCTTTTAGATAGAGAACAAAATAACTTACAGGTAAGACCTTCACACTGTATTTAGTAATATGTGGATCAGCTACCCTTCCCTGGTTAGCTGCCTGTATAAAAGAACACAGGTCTCAAATTACAAACAAGATTTCCATGGGGTGTTGGTGACTGAAAAGATTGACTTTTAAACTAGAACCACGTTATCACCACAGCTTATATGCTCTGCTTAATCATGCCATCAAAACAAAATTTAGTATAATTTCTTCCCATCAGTACTTTAGGCAGTGAAGTAATGAGATTGTAGTGAACAGGTAAGGAATACCATACATGTGTTGGACTGTGAAATATCTCAATGAACGGATATTCCTTTTTCTGCCGTGTTATACAAAAGCCAGGATATTTTGGACATTCAACCTGCAAAGCACCAGAAGATAAGCGGTTTATCAATATGCAATAACAATCCTAAAGAGTGCTATGCTGATGAGTCTGGTGCAATGCTTCATCACTGGTGATGTTATTGATATGACCGTCAACACTTATAAGAATGAATCAACAAAAACTTACACGCATAAATTTTACATGAGGATAAAACTGAACTGCAGCTTCTTCTAATACTTTGTCAAGATGTCGTGTGTAATTCCCCCTGCATTATCGAATAGCAAGTAATAATCTCAAACTTTTTTACATTTTCTTCATTCTCTTCCCATTCAGACCTAAAGTCAACTTCAAAGTAGGGGGAACCAAACGAGAATCTAGAAGCTGACTCAAGATCACCTGATAGTAAAAGCAACAACCACGGGAAAACCTTCATGAAGGAGTTTGACAAACTCACGCTCAGAGCTAAAATGAATAACCCGTGATAGTCCAAGATCCTTCGGATAACCAGTATAGTACCTTAATTATCACAAAAATTCCAAGAATACATTAAAAAATCTAATGAAGTGAAACTGCTCCAAGAATAATGCAATAGGGAATTGAGCCATAACAAATTAACAACACTGTTACATAGCTAACAGCTATCATTTGAATTATGTAAACTATGGTAGAAAATGAACACTACTGAACCTTATAAGTAATATACAAAGATTTGAAATTAGCTCCCAAAGATTTATAGCTATGACTGAACAATTCTGCAGTCAAATAAATTATATTTGTTTTATATTATAATTAATTAAAACCAAACCATTTACAGCAAAGTCACACTGGCAGTTCCTGTGCCAAAATTTTCACATAAGCATCATATGGAGGAAGTCATACTTGCAAGTTGCTCGAAGATGACTGATCATCTGATCGAAAAATGATGGATCTCCCATTAAACAGAGTAGTGCAACAGGTTAAACTATCCAATTCCTGCAAGATAAATAAATGTTATATCTAAGTGTCAGTTATATTAATCTCATCTACCTTTGTATCCACAAGTAAGAACTAACTAAACAAACTGGTCAAAATTTCATACTTCACTCTGTATCTCCAGCTCAGGGAACTAGAGGGCTATCAAACTATCAGCCTCACGAAAGCCATCTTATACACAAATATTCAATTGGAGCAATTTATCAAACAGCTATTGAGCACATTATAATTAACTAGTCAAAACCGTTAAAAAGCATCACATTATAATAGTGTCCCCTTTTCATCGCTCACATAATACATGACTAAATACATAAAATTTCCTGATATAATTGTTTAATTACCAGAACTTTTTTATTGTAAAAGTTTGTACGTTTTGTTCTTCCTAATAAGTATTGTAATAAAGAAAACCTAATAAGTATTGTAACTCATTCTCAAAACCCTAATAAAGAAAACCTAATAAGAAGTAGTGTAACTCTATTCCCACCGGTCATGAGACACTTTAATAAACCTTCTCATGCCCAGGGTGAAGTGTGCGAGTACCTAACATTCAAGTTATTTAGGCTTTAATATTTAACTCACTTTCAATAACTAGCTTTTAGAAAAAGGGTTGTCCAAAGTATTTTGCTCCATTTCTAGCTCATGTAAAAACATCTCTACAAAGATACAATTTCTTAATTATCCGTTTCAAACACGATCACATGCATACAGTAATTGCTTCACCAAATTCAAAATTAATTACGAGTCATTAGTTAATATACATAACTCTGAACGTAATGAGCATAAAAGATGTGAAATTCAAATCACAGAGAAAAACCATATGCATTGAATAACTATATATAATGAGGAACCGTGTCTACGCACGTGTAAATTGAAGCTCAAATCCCTAAAAATGATTCTACTGAAATCGAAATAATGTAAGATAAATTTTGACAGCTCTTACGCAACTTTGTACTTTGTTAGCCCATTAAAGTATAAACCCATTAGTAAACAAGGAAAAAGAAAATGAAGGGCTCGAAGCTACCTAAAAAATAAGCGAAGTCAAATACCAATACATAAGTTTTTTCATATAAGAATTAAAATATAATTTTTTTTTCAAGACTAATTCGTAAAATTGTGAAATATAAAAGAAAATATATTTTAACTTTTATAATTTTAAAGAAGTTGCATAATTTGAATTTAAGTATTCTAATTAAGTATTTGTATAACTTTTATGGAAACTGAACAACGTAATTAAGTCTATTTTTAAATAATATATTTAAAAATTATTTTTATATAAAAATAAAATATTTATTATATTTGATATGTGAAATTATACTATTATTCAAAATTTTAAAAGATCTATTTCATTAAATGAATAAATTTATAATTTTTCTATCATGATATAAGTAAGCAATTTTTATTATATTAACTCAAAATTTTATTAGTTAATCTTTTTAATTCTTTCTTTGTCAATAAGATAAAAAAATATATTTAGATGTGTCTAGTTTTTTTTTTTTTTCCTATTATGTAGATTCAAAAAGACTAGATATGCCTTAGATATTTTTTTAACTGTTATACAAAATCTTTATCATATGTGAATTATTTTTAGTATTTTGTTAACTATAATTAATATTATTTAATGATGTATATATTTATTAAATTATTAAGTTTTATTAATAAATATATATGATCCTAAATCATAAATGATATTTGACTTAATATGAGTTTTTAATATTTTTAAAATGTATAATTCTTTTATTTGTAGCTTATTTTTAATATTTTCTAAATAAATTTAAAAAAATCTTTTTAATTTTTTATTAAAATATACTTTTAATCTTTATAATTAACACTTATTTATGAATTAGTCCTTACACTTAAAAAAAAAACCTATGTTTTAGTTCTTATATAAGTATTTAGTTATATTTTAATTTCTAACGTTATAAGATTATTAACGACAAAAATCAAAATTAAATAAAATGTTTATATAGTATAAAAACTAATTCGTGGATATGTATCAATTATAAGAACTATATGTTTAATGGAACCAAAATTTTATAAATGAGTTCATGAAATCAATAATAATAAAATTTTATTATAAATATATATTTAATATATTTCTTTTAGTCTTATATTTTAATATAATAAGTATTAATTTTTTATATTTAAAAAAATCTTACAATACAGTACTTTTAATCTTTAAATAAACACGTTCTACGTCCAAACTCCAAACTTACTTGTGACAACTCAATCTTTCACTTATTTAGCATCTATTATCCATAAAAGTTATTGAACTTTTTTTTAATTTATGATCCTTTAATAAAATAAAAGAATTTCTTTTTTAAAAAATTTATTGAATTAAATATATAAGAGCAGGTCAATTAAAATGCCTTTTAAGCTGCAATACTCTCTCAGTAAATTTACATGCTTAATAATAATTTAATATATATTAATTTAGTCTATTTTATTAAATATAAATAATTAACATAATATATTACGTAAGTTTATAACAAAGATAATATTATATCAAGTTTTATTAAAATATTTTAAACTTATATATTTTTGTTAAGATATTTTTTTTTTTTAACAAGAGGGGCAAAACGCCTAAACAAAAGGACCTAAGGATTACACCTTGTTGTCTAAGCACCACAAGCATCTAAACAAAGAAAGGGGAAAAGGGAAGTAGGGGGATTATCAAAGCATTCAATTAGAGTACATCCATCCACTCCAAGCTTAGCAAGCCAATCAGCACATTATTGGCTTCTCTACAAATGTAACTAAACCTAACAAATCTAATTTGTTTCAACAACTATCTAATATTAGGCTGAACGTTCAGAACAAAAAATAAAACCTCTCTAGAGTCGCCTTCTATCCAAATGTTCTGAAAATATTTGTGAATAACCAACTTGATACCCCAAAACATAGCCCAAAGTTCAGCAACTAAAGGAGAATAAGGAGAGATGCAACCAAAGAAACCTGCAATAAAACTACCACTATCATCCCTAATAAGACCACCACATCCTGCAGCCTGATGGTGATATGGGATTGAGCCATCCACATTAAGCTTATAATGACCAAGGCTGGGAGGGATCCACCGAACACGAACCTGCTGAACAAGCAAACCAGAACCAGATTTATTACTAATTTTGAACACAATTAAAATAATTCATATCACAAATTATTTTTTGAACCAGAGAATTAGGCAAAACAAAAGCCTACTGAAAAATGAATTTATTTCTATCTAACCAAATGTACCAGATCACATACCTAAAGATCCTACTCCAATTAGGAACAACAGAATGAGAATGATTAGCTAAATTTTTTTTAAGCCAATTATACAGGCTACTACTAAAGCAATTAGCCCAATGTTCAGGAAAAATAAAATATTCCCAGACTTGTCTTGTATAAAAACAATCCTGAAGGACATGAATGATGGATTCAAATTCCTCACCACCCCTAGAATAGATGGGAGAAGTAGTCATTCCTCTATCATATCTCTCCTGATTGGTAAGCAATCTGCTATGGCCTATTTTCCATAAAAATAAATTGACTTTAGGAGGACCCTTCCACCCCCAAATTGACTTAAAAATATCATAACAAGGTTCAGGCCTAAAGGATATATCAGATAAAAGATCATAAGCAGACTTAAGAGAGAAGGTGCCATTATTGGACAGATTCAAGAAAAATAGATCCTTACCCTTAGATCTGGATGAGGGGTTAACACAACTTATTAAGGTACACAACTGCTCAAGCAAGCAGGCTCTAATTTTATCCCATTGTCAAGATCCATGGGTAGAAAACAAGGCCACAGGGGTGTCTAGATCTGTAGCAAGAATAGGGAATAAAGAGTAAGTAGAAAGTAGTTTAAAATTCGGAATCCATATATTAGTTCAGAACTTAACAGTTGAGTCATCCCCTAGTTTCTAACCCAGGCCCTGGGAGAAAATAGGCCAAACAGATACCATACCTTTCCAAATATGGGAGGCCTTTTTATGCTCACTTATACAGGGGTTTTTACCAAGCATAAACCTGTACTTATTCTTAATGATTTTAGCCCAAAGATTATTAAGAGAATTAATTAGTCTCCAGTAGAGTTTTAAAAAATAGGCCTTATCGAGGGTTCTAATATCCTTAAAACCCAAATTGCCCTTCTTTTTAGGTTTGCAAATTTTTATCCAGCCTATCAAGTGACATTTTATCCCTCCTAGAGATCCCCAGATGAAGTTTCTACAAATTCTATTAATCTCATCATAGACTGAAATAGGAAAGATAAAGGATTGCATAGTATAAGCAGGAATACTCATCAAACAAGACTAGGCAAGGGTAACCCTACTAGCCATGGAAAGGGAGTTCATTTTCCAAAGACCAAGTTTTTTTTTCTGAGTTTATCAATTATATGAATAAATTCTTTCCTATTTGGCTTATGATTAGTCACAGGGATGCCTAGGTAACTACCACATTGAGCAGAAACCTTAATATTCAAATGATTACTAATGGCATAAGAAAGAATAAGATCACCATTCTTGGAGAAAAAGACTAATGATTTATTAAAATTGATCTTTAAACCAGATGCATAACAAAAGGTGGATAAAGTATCTTTAATAACCCTAGCATGATGCATATCAACTTTAGCAACCAACACAATATCATCAGCAAAAAATAAATGAGATAAAGAAGGACCAGAATTACTAAAAGGGAAAGGAATCCAATCCTTATCAAAAACTCTATCTTGGATTAGGTGAGTAAGTCTTTTCAAACAGAGAACAAAAAGATATGGTAAAAGAGGATCACCCTGTCTAATTCTCCTATTAGGAGTAAAAGTCTTAGTAAGGGTCTTATTCCAATTAATATACATATTAGAAGATGAAATACATTCAAAAATTAAATTAGAAACGCTAGAATCTATACCAGCTTTAAGAAGGGTATCTAAAATGAAGGTTCATATAAGTTTATCATATGCTTTTTATAAATCTAACTTAATAATCAT